TAAAAAATGGAATCTCCTACAGGGAGATAGCCAACTGACTTATTCTCCTAGCAGACTCCCATCTGAAGTTATTCATCAAAAGCTCTATATTCAAAGATATTTTTAGCAGCATTTTTGTCATTGCATAAAAATTAGAAGCAACCGAAAGTCTAAGGATTGGGGAATGACTGAATAAATTGTGGCATAGGCATGGACAGTGCTCGACCTAGGGCCAGTAAGTCCTGGGTTCAAATCCTGTTGCTGACACTTGCTAGTCCTATATGTAAACCAGACTACTAAACTGTAGAGTTTATCAAAGGTAATGTGATATCATAATGTAATTAAGATGGGTAAATATGAAGAATATAAAGAAATCTGGGGGGACCCATTTAAATAATGCAAAGAGAAGAAAGCACAGCCAAAAGAAGAGTAGTTGCTGGATACAACCACATAAAAGGAAACATTTATGCGCAGAGATAGAGATGAATGGACAAAAGAAAAATTGAAGGGGTCATGGAGGGAGCAGCTGATAATTTTTGTGCTGATATTTGAATCCTGGCTTCTACCACTTACTACTTATGTGACTTTGGGCAAATCATTCAACCTCCTAGGGTCTCAGTTTCCTTATCTGTAAAATGGGGGGGTTGGACTGGATGACTGGGCTCCTTCAGTTTTACATCTATGATTCTATGACTTCTATTTTAAGGGAGGAAGCATAATAAACAACAATAATAGCATTTATGTAGCACCTACTGTGTGCCAGGAACTGTACTAAGTGCTTTACAGATACTATCTTATTTGGTCCTCAGAACAACCCTGGGAAGTAGATGCTATTATTACACTCCCCCCCCTTTTAGAGTTGAGGAAACTGAGGCAAACAGATTGACTGACTTGCCTGGGGCCACACAACTGCTAAGAGTGGGGTGCTGGATTTGAATTTAGGTCTTCTCTCCTTGCCCAGTGGTCTGTGCATTATGGCGCCACCTAGTGGTCTAATAGGATAATAGATTTAGAGCTGGAAGAGAACTTTTACAGATAAGGAAACTGAGGTCCAGAAAGGGGAAATGACTTGCCCCAGGTCACACAGAGATTAGTTAGCAGAGATGGAATTTGAACCAACTCAGACACCAAAGCCAATATTGCCACCTATCAGTCATTCACACTTTAGTGTAACTTGATTTGCTTTTCTCCTAATACCTAGCTGCTGTCAGTACTGTGAGAGATAGAATTTTTTTAGGGAGAGGTAATATTGGTGGTAAAGGTGCAGTGGGGGAGGGCAGAACTAGATGATTTGGGGGACTTTGGGGCAGTCATAGAGCAGCATGAGACTACCTGGGGAGGAGAGGAGAAGTGAGCAGGTGGGAGATGGGTGGGTGATAAAGACAATCTCTGAGGACTTTGTGCTTTTGCTGGTAGTGCCTTGCCACAAGTGTATAGGAGGAGGGGGAGCTACAAATAAGACCCTTATGCTCACCACCATATATTACCCCAAGGAGGTCATGGCATCTATTTGTTGAAGTTGTTGAAGAGAGTGTAGAAAGGTGCTTTTGGAATGATCATAAAATCATAGATTTAGAGTTGGAAAGAACCTTAAGAGGCCATCGAGTTTAACCCCCTCATTTTGCTTTTGCTAAGTCATTTTTCAGTCGTGTCCTACTCTTCATGGCCTCATTTGGGGTTTTCTTTGCAAAGATCCTGAAGTGGTTTGCCATTTCCTCCTCCAGATCATTTTACAGATGAGGAAACCGAGACAAACAGGGTGAAGTGACTTGCCCAGGTTCACACAGCTAATGGATGTCTGAGGCCAGATTTGGACTGAAAAAGGAGTGAGTCTTCCTGATTCCTGGTGCTCTCTCTCTCCACTGCCATCTAGCTGCCAAAATAATCTGTTCATATCCTTAGCTTCTCATTTTATAGATGAGGAAACTGAGGGTAGGAGAAACCAAGTGGCAGAGCCAGGATTTTAACCCAAATTCTCTGACTCCAAATCCAGCATATTTTCCACTGAATGAGACCGGCTCTATCCTATTGCCAATGGATACCAGATTGTATCCCACTCTTGGAGGATCTATTGATCAGTTTTCAAAGCAATCGTCTTCCTATGAAGTAATGCCACTAGGATAAAAGTGAATCCAGCTTTAAAGGAAAGTTAAACCTATCTATCCTTTCTGGTCAAGTTCAGATGCCACCTCCTTCATGAAACCTTCCCTGATCAGCCCAGCCCACAGGTTTCTCACAGTCCCTGTGGCACCACTCTCCAGCACTTAACTCCACACTGTCTTGGTCAGCTATCTTTCAAAATGTGGATATTCTATCTCCCTAACCAGGCAATAAGGCCCCTAAGGGAGACTCCCCAAAGCTAAGTCATATATCTATGTATTTTCAGGGCAAACTCCTACAAAGAAAATGCTCACCAATATACAAAGTCCCAAACTCACTCAGGGTTCCCTTAAAAAAATAGCTATTTACTCTCTTCTAAAACACTTCCAGTAACAGGGAGCGCACTACTTTTTTTTTTTTGAGGCTGACCCTTTCAATGTTAGAAAGCTGTAGAACTTCTCTGCATTAAACTGAAATCTACATATCTGGTTCACACCAGAGGAATTACGGCATAGGAGATAAAGGAAGAGAGTCCTGTACTTAAGAAGACCACACTTCAGGTCCTGTTTCGGAAATGTACTGATTTGGAGATGCCTGGTAAGTGTCACAACGTCTCAGTGCTCCAGGCAACTCTTTGACTACAAGTTACTAACTCCCTAGAAGTAGTTTCCTCGCTGGGCTTTTCCTATACCAATGAAATCACAGGTCCGATTCAAAAAACAAACAACAAAATTAAACCTTCCACCTTTGAATGTTGCTCTCCTCAGGAACACCAGAGAAGAGAGTTAATTCCTTTTCCACATGACAACATTTCAAATACTTGGAAACAGCGATCTCATTCCCCCAGGTCTCGTCTAGAGGTTAATCACCACCACTTTCTTCACATAACACAGTTTTCCAGACACCTCCTCCCCACCCTCATGCACTATAGTCTGTCGGTATCCTCTTAAAGTGTGATGCCCAGAACTGTAACACAATACTCTGGTTTACAAAAACATCACCATCTGCTTTACAAAAAAAGATATTTTTTATGGCAAATAAATTTCTAAACATCATACACCCCCTCCCCAAATCTCACTGAAATAAAAAAAAAGTTTTTTGAAAATTTCATTTATACATGAATATTTTCCCCAAGAGCCATACAGGAAGAAAACCCCCAAATGTGTGGCCATTTCAGGGCTTTTAAGATAATCTGCACTCAAGTCCTGTCTTCAGCAATTTAGCTTGTTAGGTACTTAGGTACTTAGAAGTCTACTCCGAAGGGAATCTTAATAGACCATTTAATACAGTCCTCACACAAGAAGTATGCTGTAGTCAGGATTCGAACCCATGTCATACATAGGAACTGAGAATTAGAGCTGCGAGGGACCTTAAAAATCATCATAACTCTCTCATTTTACAGATGAGGAAACGGGATCCAGACTTGTCCAAGGTAACCCCTAAAAACGGCAGAGACAAGATTTGAGTCTACATTCCCTGACTCCAGGTTCAGTATTTTTCCCTCGTCTCAATTAGGAGCCAGGAGTTCCTGTTCTCTAGACGGGGCTGTATGGGCTCTGGCTCTCTTGGGGTCAGACACCCCTCTTCCTCCTTTCCTCTCACCCCAACTTAAAGAAACACACAGAGTTTGTAAACCAAAAAAACAAAAAACAAAAACCAAACCAACCAAAAAAAAAAAAACCCGTCATTGGCTTCAAAGTTCACGGGAGCCCACTGTACACTGCCGGGGTCTGGGCAGTGGGAAAAGTACGGGCTATCCAGGAGCGGTCAACTGGTCACAACTACCCCGGAGGGCCCGGACGCTCGGAGCTAGGCACAGCGCTGAGCGCCCTCTGGGTTTGTAGGAGCCTGGAGTCTCGCTTTAGGGGCTGTGCTCACAACGTAAATCCAAATTTGTCAACGTGTTATATGCCTGCACACATGGTCTGGATTAGACAGAGGAGGGAGCCTCGGCTGCGGCTTCCCTCGGATTATTAAGTAATTGCATAATTCGGAAGAGGGTAAGGAAAAAAGAGAGGAAGAGCAGAAGGGAAGAGAGGAGATGCCCCTTTTTTGCCCGGGGTATGCTGTAACGTTTCCGGTGGTCCCTAAGGAGCCAAAGCCAGCCAGTGCAGCTACATTGAGGCAGGGGATTCCGGTACCCGAGTGACGAACAACACGGCCCTTCCCCTGCCCTGTTCCAGCTGGACCCCCAGAGTTGAGGGTCAGTCACTTCTAAAGCGGGGGGCTCCTGCAGAGTCTCCCGTGCGCCCCAATCTGATGGGAAGGCGAGGAGTACAGAAAGTTGTTCCCTTAAGCTCTGGATGAGGGTCTAGCCTGAAGCCGCTCTCAGACAGGACTCTAGTAGTAAGACACAAGAGAGCCCTCAGTTTCCGCCTGTCCACCTAGGTGAAAGCCAACTTCGCTGGGCAACCCCGTGTATTGCACCAGTTCCCCTCACTTTTGGAGGTCCCAGCCCCCGAAGTTTTAGAGCTTCGCAGGCTCTGGTCAGTCTTTGCTATCCGCTCCCTCCTGTTATGACTCCCCTCTCTCTCCCTGAGCCAGCCTGGGGTTTAGTCCAGCCTCCGGGGAACAAGAGATGTACCCGTGACCGCTCAAGGGCTGCTTCTGCAGGACAGGGGCTAAGTCGTCCCGACTGCCTCTTTAACTTTCAAAGACCGAAATACCAAATCCAAACAAAATGCAACTCCAAGCAGCCTCCATATTCCCTCTTTCTTTAAACACATTTTGATTGACATTAGACTCAACAGAATTTCTGGAAGGGTTTAAGTCCTTGCGAGCAGCTCCGCAAGCCTCTCCCAAGCCCTCCGGGCGCCTAGCGTGCGGATAAACCTATGAATCCATAGAAAATTCCCTGAGTGCAGTGGCGGTGTGGCGGTGGGTAGGGACGCAGGGGCTCAGACCCCGAGGGCAGCACTTACCTGGCCAGAGGCTGAGCACCCAGGCTACCAAAAAGCCTTTGGGCAAGGCCATGGCAAGTGCTACTGGGGCTGCTGGGTCCTCTCGCTCAGACCAGCCGCTGGAGGCAAGGAGCCACAGTGTCAGACTGCAGCGCGGAGGAGAAAGTTTTCTCTTTGCCCCAGCTCCCTGACAGGAGCAGTTCATTGAGAGGAAGTGGGAGGGGTCGAGCAGAGCCCGGAGGAGGGAAGGAGGACACTCCTCCAATTCGGGAATTCGGGAATGCTGGCTCTGGCCCTTTCAGCTCCAGCCCGGGCAACTGCCCAGCCCCTGGCTCACGGCGCTCCTCCTTCCACCCCCACCCTCTAGGGCTCACTTTCCCACCTGCACACCCCCCCTCCCCAAACAGGGACTTTGAAGGTGGAGAGATTTTTAAAAATTATACAATAATCAAATACGATACTATATGTAAACAGACAAAGCACTTTGCAAACCGTAGAGTGCTACATAAATGCTAGTTATTGTTATCATTATTAATAATAATTGTTACCTCACCCTTGTACAAGACTTTTTGCTTTCCAAAGGACTTTTGCATTCATACTTTCATCTGATCCTTGCAACAGGTGGTAACAGTAATTCCCATTTATAGAGAGGTTTGAGGCTTGAAAGCACCTTAGGTATGTTGGCTCATTCCATCCTCACAACAGTAAAGTAGATGCTGTTAACACCCCCATTTTGCAGATGAAGAAACTGAGGCTGGCAAAAGTTAAGGACTTGACCAGGCATTTGAGCTTCGTTCTTCCTGGCTCCAAGTCCAAGCAAGTGCATCACGATATTATGTAAAGAGCTGGGAGGGGGTTTAGAGATGATCTAGTGATTAAGAGTTTCTATTTGACAGGAAAGACTGAGACTCAGAGAGGCAAAATAATTTGCCCAAGGTCACACAGGGAAAAGTGGTAGAATCTGGATTTCGATTGAGATCTTCTGACTTCAAATCTTAACAGAAGAAAATTAGCTCCAGAGAGTCTGAAGTGACTTGCCCACAAAGTAAACACAGATGGGGGCTGAATTCTCCTTTGCCTGAGGGTGTGTGAAACTGAGACATCCTCCTTTCCTTTTTTTTAAAAAATTAGGGCCATCCATTTGGTCTAGTTCAAGTTTAGAAAGTAAAGAACTCTGCCGGCTCAACCAAGGGACCTGACATTTATTTGCATTGTCTCACCAAGCTTAATAGCAGCAGTAACCTTACACAAAAAGATAGAAAGTACAGAAGGCTAGAAAGACATTTGCTGAATAAAAAAATAAGTCGCTTTTTGAAAGCTGTTTTGTTTTGATGTATCTTAATTGTTTATATTCTGGCTAGATGCCTCAAAAATGGAAGTGGCCCATGCCTCTGAGAGTCCCACTCTAAAGGCTTTGGAATGACTTCAACCTTTCCTTCCCACCATAAAATGACTGTGGAGTCCTGAAAGGTCTTTCACGAAAAGCCATACAGGGTTCTGCCAAGTAATTGGATAATAATTTGCCATCTCCCTACTCCCAGGATCATCATATGATTTAGAGCTAGGGGGAATCTTAGAAATCATCAAATCAGACTCACTTATTTTATATGTGAGGAAACTGAGGCCCAACTCATCCAAGGCCACACAGGTAGGAAGTAGTAGAAACTTTCTCCTCTGCTTCTTTTTGTTCTCTTCCCCAACCCCATGCTGCCTCTTGGCTTCCTAAAGGCTGTCACTGGATAACCTTGCACAGGACTGCTCTGTTTTTTCTTCCCCCACCACACCCACACCTAGGTGTGTCTAAGGATCCTCCCTCTTGCTCTTCTACCTCTTTCTACCAAAACTGAAATTCCTTATCTGCAGGTATTAGGAAGAAAATCATCTGATTAGACTAATTCATACTAATGTGTTAATAACTGGTAGTTGGGGATTAACCTAAATGACTATCATTGGTAGAACGTGATAGAAGTGAAATGAATTTTAGGCAGTGAGAAGTGACATTTGGAGAGCAGACTCTTCTCCACAGAATCCACTTGTCCATCTGTGTCTGAGGGCAGGTCAGAGGTAAGTATGATTCCATTGCAGATGCCTTTGTTTATCCTCTCATTTGCCCCTAGTGCTGCTGCTGCTGCCCACATTGCCTACCCCAGCATCCGTGGTCCTCACAATCTCATTTACACAGTGCTTTCCTCACCCTCAATTGTGATCGCTAGATATGTTCTATGTGGGTGACTCCACCGGGGTGAGCTCTGGATACACACAAAGGTTTTGTCAACTTGTTTTGGTTATTAGCCAAGGGCCCTTTTAAAGCCCTGAAACAATGGTCTCCCAGGTCACTTGGTACTGTGAAGAGAGTACTGGACTAGGGGTAACCTCTAAGCCCTGGCTTTGTCATTAACTTACCAGGTAGCCTTGGGCAAGCCACATCTCCCTTGTGAGTCTCAGTTTCCTCATCAGTAAAATGAAGGAGGTGGAATGTAATTTTAGAGGTAGAAGTACCTAACCATCTTTGATTCTAAATGGGGTGGGGGAAGGATTATCTCCAAGAGGGTGATGAGGCACTGTGTCCTAGGTGGAGGAAACTGTCTTATTAGTGTCTTCCGGGGGGGAAGGTGGAGCAGCAGGGCCCTTAACCCCTCAAACACTGCCCAGCAGCCCAGCCTTCTCGGCAAGACCGTCTTGCCTTGCATTACTGGCTGTAAAGAATGAATGCAAATGCCATCCTTTCTTCTCCTTCCAGGAACTCAGGTCTATGATCATTTATACACTTTGGTAGTCTGGCCAGTTGAGTTATCTACAGTGTACTAGGCTCTTTCTCAAGCAATGAATGAATGAGACATTTTTTAAGCACTTATGGCACAAAGTACTGTACTAAATGTTAGGGATATAAATAGGAAAGATATTCCCTGCTCAAAAGGAGCTTACATTCTAATGGATGGAAGAATCAATTCATAACCAACAAACATTTATTAAATATCTAATATGTGCCAGGCACAGTGCTGGTGTTAGGGAGACAATGACAAATATGAGACAGTTTCTGTCCTCTAGGAGAAAACAACACATGAACAAATAATTATATACAACATGTATTTATTTTTTCAATGTAAATAGCATTTTATTTTTTCCAATTACATGTAAAGATACTTTTCAACATTCTTTTTTAGATAAGATTTTGAGTTCCAAATTTTTCTACTTCCCCTCCCCCCCAAACAGAAAGCAATCTGATATAGATTATACATGTACAATCATGTAAAACATATTTCCACATTAGTCATGTACAGCATATATTTAAAATAAATATTGGGCCATTTTGAAGGGGAGACACTAGCAGCTAGGAGAGTTGGGAAAGCCACCATGGAGGAGAAGGGGGCATCTGATTGGTTCTTTGAAAGAAGCTTGGGATTCCAAGAAGCAAAGATCAAGGAGAAAGTGGAGTCCAGTCATCTGTGTAAAGACAAACAGATTGGGGACTACCATATGTGTAATATCAAGAAAACCATTTTGGCTGGACCAAATAGTGCATGAAGGAGAATAATGTATAATGATAGAAAGATAGGTTGGAGCCAGATTGTGTAAGTCTTTAACTACCAAACAAAGGGTTTTACATTTGATCTTAGAAATGAAAGGGAGACATTGGAATGGAGTGGTATCTTCAGACCTGTGCTTTAGGGATACATTATTCACTTTGGCAACTGTGTGAGGATGAATTGGAATGAGGAAGCCTGGAGGCAGGTAGAACAATTAGGAGGTTATTGCAGCAGTTCAGCTGAGAGAAGATAAGAACCTGAACTTGGGTGACAGTCAGGTAAGTAGAGAGCATGGGAAACAAGAGAGAGTTGCTGTGATGTAGAATTGATAAGGCTTGGCAGCCAAAAGGATATGGGAGGTGAGAGAAAATGGTTAGTTGTAGATGATTCCAAGGTTTCAAACCTATGTTATTAGAAGGCTGGTCATGCCCTTGACAGAAATAAGGAAGTTAGGAAGAGGGTTGGGTTTTGGGAGAAAGACAATGAGTTCTATTGGGATATGTTGAATTTGAGATGTCTGCTATACATCTGGTTGGAGATGTCCAATAGGGAGTTGGTGATGTGGCCCTGGACCTCAGGAGAGAGGCTGGAACTGGTTATATTGATCTAGTAACTGTTTGCATAGAGATGATAGCTGAACTCATAGAAGCTAATAAAATCATCAAGAGAAAGAGTGCAGCACAGGAAGAGAACTCTCTGGGTAGGACACGGCCATTTCAGGGAGAAGGAGCAACTTGAAAGTTATGGGACAGAGGACCTAAAGACTATCTGGGCCAGGATGGACTACTGCCTTCACAAAAGATGGTGGCCCCGCATTCTGAACTGTCTCAAGCCTGTGGGCTGTCCTGGCTTGGGAAAAAGTGAGGGAAATGCAAGAGTCCACCTCCTTAATGGGACACTCATTATTACTGAGACCTAGTTAACAGCAAGGACCAAAATGCTTATTTTTCCAAACATACTCAAATGGGCTTGTGATCTCACACATTTGAATGTTCCTTCCAATGATTCAGAACACAGCTCATCCATGTCTGTCCATACTGTGTCACTCTTATTCATACTCTCCCGTGAGTTTGCCAAGCCAGGGCCTACCTAGCATGCTGGAGGCCATCCTTGATTTCTCCTGATGTGTCTAGGATACCATAGAGCCAATTTATCTCGTTTTTCTCTAACGCATTTGCATCTTTTAATATTTGAGCTGGTTCATTGTGTCATTAAAAAAACCTTTCTCTGTTTTTGTGTTTTTCTCTCTCTCTGTCTTCTTCCCTTCTTCCTTCCTTTCATTGGATTGTAAGGCTTAGAGCAAGGAGGGGCCAAAGATACAACATCTAGTCCAACTTTCTCATTCAGCACATAAGGCGCACACTCCTTCCTTCTCTCCTCTTCTCTCCCTCCTTCTTTCTCTTTTTTCTTTTCTTCTCTGTCATCTTTTTCTTTCTTCTTTCCTCTTTCTCTTTTTTCCCCACTGGCTCTTTCTTTGCCCCCCTTTTCTCCATCTTTCTTTTTGTTTTACACCTAAGTATTCTGACATAGTTCACTTCCAATTATCTGCACGCAGATTATCCAGCTTGTGAAATTACTATGGCAAATATTGAATTCC